TTCATAGATGCACAGTTCATCCGAGCAGTTGGAGTGGAAGGTCCTTGGCTTGCTGCTACTTAGCCTCAAGTGCAGAGAGCCCACAGGCCTAGCCTCATCCTACCTTCCTTCACAGATCCTCATGGGGAGGCGGAACGAAGTCCCAAGCCATCACTTTGTACACAGGAAGGATACTGTTTCACAAGGACAGGGGCACCCCAGTGAGGCTACCCCTACATTTTCCCTCATGACATATAGGTAATTCCTTCACTGGCAAACATTCATAGGAAGATCTGACTGGATTATTTACAGCTTAGTTGCATGATAAAATGGGAGAAGATCCATCAAAAGAGGAAATCCAGCAAGTAGTCAAACATGGAAAAAAAAAATAGAGCACATAAAGCCAGACTCTGGACGACACTTCTGATGCATAATCTTCTTCCTTTCAACAACTCTGAGAGTGTTCACCCATTTCACTGATGTGAAGACTGAGGTTGGGAATGTTGCATTAACTGAACAAGCAATTGAGTCCAGGGTTCTTGGAGGACAGAGTGGTATGGCTCTCTCTCTGCCTTGAAAGATCTTGGGCAAATTCCTTCAGTGTCTTCTTTTATTAAATGGTGACAATAATGCCTGTCTTACAGCGGTACTGCAGGGAGTGCGTGAGAAAATTGATGACAATGTTCCTGGAACACAGCCAACAGACACAACAGCCGACAGCTGGTACACGCCTCGCTTCCCTCCTTCTGTGGTCTACTTCCCCTCCCACCCAGCCCTCTCCTCCCACTCTAAGTCCTCATCAATGCTTTGAGGAGGAGCACTCCCATGGACCCAGAGACTCGGAGCACAAGTCGATGTGACCATGAGAAGTTTGCTCCTGCCCATACTCTCAATGAAGAGATAAGCCTTGAAAGAGGAAGCCAGGGAGAGAAGGCGGGAGTCCCTGGGTCCTGAAGGGAGTTGGTGGGGTCAGAGTGGAGGTGTGTGGGGAGACTGGGAGACAGACAGGAAGGTCTTCAGTGTTCGTGGAGAAGGGAGGAGGACTTGCAATGAGCAGACCACCCTAAAGCCATTCGGGAAAAGCTGCTTTACACATGAATCCCCACACAGATTATTTATTCATTACAAAAGAGTGAAAAGTCATGGGGAGAAATCTGGTGGATTTCCTTAAGCCAAATCGGACAGATGATCAACAAGAAAGGAACCAATTAATATCATGCACCTTCTGATGGACATCCTGAGAACCCAGCATCACCTGGGAGCTTGGAGGCCGTTCGCCAAGACACAGCTGGGCCAGATCACGAGTGTTCCAAATGAGGCCAGTCTACAGACCACCAACCGGTGTTCTGCAAGGTCAATCTTGTGAGAGACAAGCTAGGAGAAGGGTCAGCCCAGATCACAGGAGACTAAAGACATGTGGACTGAGTGCAAACAGGTTGGGGAAAATGGCCTAAAGGACATTCTTGGGACCCCTGGGGAATTCACATATCAACTCTGTATCAGGTGACAGCAGGTATAGATGTTAGATTTCCTGAGTGTGACCACTGCATTGTGTAAGATAGTGGCCCTGCCCTGGGGACACACACGGTCCAGTATTTAGTCACGTTTGAAGCTTGCTCTCAGGGGCCCAACAACGATGGGTGTGTCCACACAGAGATTAAAAGATAAAGCAGGGGCCAGGCAATGGTGCAGCAGTAATGGAACTGGACCCACATGGGAAGGTCCCGGGTTCCCGCCCTGGAACCTCTGTGAGCACACCTGGCATGCAGGCATTCCCATGATTTGCGGCTGGCCAAGGCTGGGCTGGATCAGGGCATGAAGAACCTTTCAGGGGTACCTCTCTCCCTCTCTTTCTCTGTTTCTCCCAGAGATAAAATAAAAAAGTAAATACAGCAAAATGTTAATGACCATTGAATCCAGGCGAAGGGCCTGCGATGTTTATTATACTGAGCCTGCCCCTATTCTGCGGATTTGAGAAATAAACACAGGACCGACTCCATGGTGGGGAGGGAGTATGCTCAAGAGAAGCCAGACCCCACATGGCGACCGCAGTGCGAGTCTCCAGCCTAGCCAGCCTGAAGCACACTGAGGGTGTGAGCGCTGAGCGCTGAGGGTCTGCAGGGTTGGAGGGCTAGAGGAAGGGGACCGCGGCACAGCCACCCCTCTGGGGGGTGCTCCTCTCACGCTCGCTCTTCACATTCGCTCGGTATCATAAATAAAGGAAAACGAACAAAAGAAGAAAGAGAAAGCCTCCAGAGTCTGCTCAGCTGGGCTAGAGAGCTTCCCTCATTACAAGTCAGTCAGTTTCCACTCACACAAAGCTGGACAGAGAACGTGAGCCTGAGAGCACGAGAGACCTAGTACTCCACCCTTTCCAGAAGGAACTGCATTTTCAGTTAGAACCTCAGAGGGAACACGGTGCGTTAAAAAGTCTTTTGTTTTAAATTCTTATCACAAAAATTCACACTCACTATAAAAACTTTAGAAAGGGGATGAGCAAAAACTATGGCCTGGAGAAAGCCACTGCTATAGTTTCAGTGTTCTTGCTGGCCTAAGAAGGCGATACTTAACTCAAGAAAAAAATGAATCACTGGGCTGGTGGGTGGCGTGGCAGTTAAGGCGCTGGACTCCCACATGACCCACTGCGGTTTGAGTCCCGGATCTGGCAGCTTGTTTTCTCGCTTTCTCTCTCTCTCTCTCTCTCTGGTCAAATTTTTAATAATAATAATAATAATAATTATTATTATAATGATAGGGGCCAGCAGGTATTATGTCGGTTAAGGGCTCTGGACTCCCACAGGGCCGACCTGAACTTGGGAGCTTGCTTTTTCCCTTTCCCTTTCTTTCTTTCTCTCTTTCACTCTGTCGCTCTCTGGTTAAAATAAAGTCAAATAAAATAATTCTTTAAAATGCAAGGCTTCCTCTCAAGCCAAAGAACCCTAAACTCTGAGATGAAAGCACATTTCTTGAACTTAAAATGTACACCTTGGGCCAGCCCGATGGCCTAGCGGTTAAGGGAAGTCAGATCCCATCTGGCTGATCGTAGTTCAAGTCCTGGTCTCAGCAGCTTGAAAACCACACTGAATGTGTCCGTGCACGCCCCAAATCTGACAGGGGGAGAAACAGGGGAAGAGACTGCAGTGTGACACCTCAGGAGGGGTACTTTCCCCCTCTCTCCCCACCGCACTGTCTCTCTAGTGAGTGCACACAACCTCGGACAACTGGAAAAATATAAATATGTTAATATTACATATTAATTATATGATATAAAATTCATGTATTTATATATCAATATAATATACTTAATCTCAAGTGGATCCAGTCTCCTTAGCCGCTGAGCTACAGGGCCACCCCTGGATACACATTTTGTATTTAAATATGTACTTTATGGGACCAGCAGTTAGCGTAATGTTGCTGGACTCCCATGTAGTTTACCGTGGTTCAAGTCCCAGACCCGGTGGCTTAAACTCACGCCGGGCGCGTGTGTGTGTGTGCCCAAGATCCCGAGAGGAGAATGGAGGAGAAGGAATTGCGGCATGGCCAACCCCCCTGGGGGGTGATTTCTCGTTTTCTGTCTCTGTCTTTCTGGTGAGTGCACACACCCTATAGCAAAAATCTCATTAAAAAAATGTACTTTATGTTTATATAAAAAACCATGATGCATTTTTCTGTTTCTCTGTGCAAAAACGTGTCATGACTTTTCTGATGACCCAATATATTTAACAGTCATTATATACTAATATATATTTAATATATGTTATATACATATAATATAGATATATATTACATATACACATATATAATATCATATATAAACATAATACACATATTTAAATATAAAATAACTTGTGTACCCAGGGTTGGCCCTGTAGCTCAGAAGGAAGCTGGATCCCACATGGCTGATCACAATTTGAGTTCCAAAATTGCAAAAAGTGTGGATAAGCAAAGTTGTCTGATTGCAGTTCAAGTCCCAGCTCTGGCGGTTTGAAAAACATACCAGGCACATGTGGGTGCATGCCCACTATCTTAACAGGAGGAATTGAGGACAAAGGATTCTGTGTGACCATACCCCACTGGTGGGTGTTTTTTCTTTCCTTCACACCCCCTCTCTGTTGCGAGGGCACAGGACCATGGACAATAATTGTTTTTTTTTTTTTTTTTGAAATGTTTTTGTTATAGGGTATGTGCACTCACCAGAAAGACAGAGACAGAGAGATAGAAAGCGAGAAATCAACCCCCATGGGGGTGGCCACGCTGCAATCCCTTCTTCTCCATTGTCCTCTCAGGATCTTGGGCATGCACGTACACATGCCTGGTGTGAGTTTAAGCCACCAGGTCCAGGACTCGAACCGCAGTCGGCTACGTGGGAGTTCAGCGACATAGTTATAACACTAACTCCTGGTCCCTAATAATTTTTTTTTAATATGCATTCTGAGAATACGATGATGAGGGAGAACCATGAAGAGGTAGGCAGAGTGAACAGGATAAATACCCATTGCTCCTTTCTTTATAAACGTTATGAGAATTACCAAGTCACAAAGAAGAATACGAGTAGACAGATAGATCTTGCTGGCATTTCTCGGCTCCAGGTGGACAGAGAAAAGCAAAATAAATGATGCTTCAGACACAATCTGACACAGAAGCCATAGAAAGGCTGAGCCTGGGGCCAGAGGGTGGCGTGGTGGTTAAGGTGCTGGACTCCCAACGTGGCTGACTGCAGTTCAAATCATAGACCCGGCAGCTTGAGAATCACACTGAGTGTGTGAGTGTGCGTGCCCAAGATCCCGAGAGGAGAATGGAGGAGAAGGGGTTGTGGTGTGGCCATCCCCCCGGGGGATGATTTCTCCCTTTCCCTCTTGCTGTCTGTCTGTCTGTCTCTGTCTTTCTTAGACAAGTGCAAAAACCCTATGGTAAAACCTTAAAAAAAAAAAAAAGAAAAAGAAAAGAAAGAAAGAAACAGCTGAGCCATTACTTCCCGGTTGCTGCCTCCAGGTGGACGTTGGCCCCGGGTCTGCACTCACCCATCCACACTTCCCCAAACTGTCCAGCGCCGAGCTTTTTCACCAGCTTAATGGACTCTCGGGGGATCTCCCAGGCATCTTTATCCCATGGCTTCTGTGGCTTGGGACTAATACAAGCCTTCTCCAATCTTCTGCACAGGCCATCTGACTGCTCTGAAGTGAGAGGGAAGCTGAAGGTTAGCAAGCCCAGCACCGTGCGTGTTACAGTATCGTGAGAAAAGCTGGGCTCGTCCTCATCACGCCCTGTCTGCCATGGTCCGTGGACCTCAAATGCTTTTTGCGTAAACATGACTTGAAATTCTTAAAAGCTCTTTTCAGACATACTTGATTTTACTCATTAGCACCACTACTAAATGAAAACAGAAAACAAAACAGACGGGCAGAGCCCGAAAGGCTGCCACACCTAATGAAATGTGAGTTCAGATTACGGAGGCCGCATGAGCTCCACACCTGGGCCCAGAATAGAATAGGTGAGCGCCACCAGCCCTCAACACGCTGGCCAGATAGACAATGAGTGGGGGAAGAGGAAGGGAGGAGGCCACAAAATCGGAGGCTCCTCGCTCTCTCTGTGTTTGGGGACTAAGCAAACTTGAGTGATTCGTAGACAGCAGCAGTAGCCACACCCACTCTGCCTGACTTTAGTCACAGGGAAGGAACCTCAAGGCTGGTTGTGGGAGGGCTGACAGTGGCTCAGCCGGACACAATGCACTAGGAGGCTGACCCACACCGAAGGTTCCAGGTTTGCATTTGGAGACAGCCCTGGGCAGCAGGGCATGCATGTGCCCATGATCTGGGGCCATCTGCGGCTGGGGGTGGACCACAGTGCAAAGGCCCTCTTGGGTTGCTGTCTGTCTCTCCTGTCCATGGCAGAGATAAACGAATAAAGTTAACCACAACCACAAAAGGCTAGTCCGGGCTATAGTTTTCACAGGGCTAGAAAGGAGCACCGAAATGAGCACTAGCACTCGTAAATATTTCAGAGATGGTGGGCCATTATTTCTGTGTTCTTTTAGCAAGAGCATGTATTAATTTCATACGTAGATGTGTGTGTGTATAAATATATAGATGTGCTCATGATATGGGTCTGTAGACCTGCATTCCTAGTCCAGACAGCTAAAGGCATATTGTAAAACTATATACCCTGTACAAAAATAACACTGATTTTTCTTTTTGGTAATTTTGAAACATCGAATGTCAAACAGCAACGTCTAGGTGGAAAGCACTGGAATAGTGATGCACAAAGATCGAATCTTACTTGGAGGGTGTACTTAATGACAGATGAATTTAGAATCAGTTATAAAACGTGACCTGCCAACTTCCTCCAAGAGAAATAGGATGCTTAGAAAGCTGTAATAGAAGAATAGCACTTGCCACCATACGCCCGTCGTGGTAAACATGGTCTCCCTTGGCAGACATCAGTTGGTACTTACTTTGGTAATGCTTAATCATGTCGCTGATACAGGGGAAGGTGATTCGTGGAGAGATGTAATAGCCCCCATTGTCCAGACTTCTAATTTTGTAGTGCTTTATGACGTCGCCATGCACGGGGTCGTAATCTCTGACAGACAGGGAGAAGCTGCCTGTAAAGGGTAAGGGAAGGTTATGTTTCTGTTTTGCAAATAAGATCTGCACTATGCAACACTGTCAGACACACAAAAGCTGTGCAAGATGTAAATTATGTATTTAATGCATCAATTAAAAAAATCTTATAAAAATTCTTGAAAAACGAAGCTAACATTTTGTTTGCTGTGAGTCTTGCCGACATGTCATTTTCCTTCTTCATGAGGGCTATAATTTAGGTAAACTGAAAAGTTATTTTTTGATGTTCTTTTTCTTAAGATTTCAGGATTTACTCTAAGTAATAACACAAGCGGCTTTATTATTTAGATAAAACGCAAATGCAAAGCAGTGTAGGAACTGGTCCCGACAGTGCCTGCTGTCCGTGCTCCTTCCAGTACCCAGATCATTCGAATTTGCTGTCTGTTACCAAACCATAAAACTTGCACCATTAGAGCATCCTACACCTTTTTCTCTCTTTCTTCTTTTCTTTTTAGATAGAGATTTTTGCTACAGGGCATGTGCACTCACCAGATAGAGAAATAAAGAGATAGAAGGCAAGAGATCACCCCCAGGGGGGATGGCCACACCGCAATCCCTTCTCTTCCATTCGCCTCTCAGGACTTTGAGCACACATTCACACACGCCTCGTGTGAGTTTTAAGCTGCCGGATCAGGGACGTGAACTGCAGTCGACTACGTGGCAGTCCAACAATGTAACCATTACACTAACTGCTGGTCCCTACCTTTTTCTTTCTTTAGTAATTGTAGAATAGTTTCTAAAAATGGTTTCCTCAAGAGTATCAGATAAGACTTCCTACCTTTCAATGTTTCACTTTCTCTGATGAGAAAAGCTCCCGCGCTGTTCCCTGGTGCCAGAAGCTGCCTTTCTGCATCTTTCCTGGTTATATCCTTGAAAAACCACCTGAAAGGACATTTGAACATTTCACAGATGCTGTGGTCCAGGGTGGGCAAAAGATGAGCAACACCAACACGAAATCGGATGCGGTTGCCGCTGCCACCCAAGATGACACGTAAGTACTCACTCTTCCGTTTCTAAGGTGTTGACTTTGGCCACGTAGTTGCTGGGGATGAAGCCTTCTCTCTTAGTTGAAAGGGACTTTGCTTTCCACCATTCTCCATGCCTGGAACAGAAACACATCCAAGTTTATATCTGAGACCCAAAACTACAACAGGAATTGTCTTAAGGTGCTTGTTTAGGGGGAGGGGGTAAGAAGAGGAACATCCTTGGAACCCCAGAATCCAGTGAGAAAATTCACTCTTGATGGAGTGAAATTCAGTTAGAGACTGAAGCAAATGAAAACAGCCTTCCATCCTGAGCTTGAACCACTGTGCTCGGCACTGCACAGATAAGGGCTGGTGGAATGGCTCCTATCAGCTGGTGGCGCAGTGGTGAGGCAGCTCAATCCCACATGGCCCACTGTGTGGCTTCAGTCCTGCACCGGGTCGCTTGACAAAAACACCAGGTGTGAGTGTATGCCCAAAAGGCTGAGAGGAGAATGGAAGAGAAGAACTGTGGTGTGGCTATCCTCTCTAGAAGGTGTTCTCTCTCTCTCTCTCTCTCTCTCTGTCCTCTCTCTATCTCCATCAAGTACACACACCCTATAGCAAATTCCAGAAAGAAACAAAAAGGCTCATATCTTGCAGAAGAAGCAAGTAGTCTGTGCTTCCCCCCAGGAGAGCTAAGAAGTGCCTTAGGATCTTTACAGAAATAGGAGTCGAGAGTAAGGCGAAGTCCCCGTGTTACAGACTCCTTTGTTAACACCTCTGGCTTCCATAGAGATGGAGTCCATGGAAAACTAAAAGAATACCGTAAAACAATTCCGAGCAAGTAAGCCTCAGCACCATGGCCCCGTGCCTAAACAAGAGGGCAAACGTGAGCCAGGAGGAGACCGGGCCAGGTCCGGAAGGGGCAGGTGAGCTGGTGCAGGGGAGGACGGGGTGGGCCAGGAGCCTCCACCGTGTTCTCCTTCAAATTCTCACACCAGACGGCAGGGCGGGCAACTGCAACCCACACTCACTTCCACACAGTTGATGTCCACGCAGCCATCAGAGATGACAGGATTTCAAATAGTTTGTGGAAAAATGGGGTTAAAGAATGAGTTTATTTTGGTGAGAAAAAACTTGAAATCCACTCAGTTTTTCATAACACACATTTTCTATGATGACTTGAAGTCGCCCCACCCCCCATAAACACATACATACAGGTACCATGTACAGCAACCCCATCTACAAGGGGAAAAATCAAGGTAGAGGTCCCATGACTCATCAAGGTCACGCGGCTGTCCATGGTGAGGCCATGGCGGCTCAAGCCCATGCTCGGCCATGAGCACACCCTTAGCCACCAACACCTGCTCCTTAAGAACGGAGTCTTCCCCTCTGACCCTGTCGGCAGGGCAGCACCTCACTGCACACAGACCAGCAGGAAAAGCAAGCTGTGATGACAATACGTGGAGTTCCCTATTCTTAGTACTATCCTGTGGCCGGGCGAGTGTCACATGTCTGTGACTCAGCATGGAGGGGTCAAGGAAATGACGATGTGTCCCAGCATCTTCACAGAACAGCCGGGACTTCTGGGCGGGGCTTTTCCAACGTGACAGCACACCCAGCACAGTGCCCAGAAGTCAAACTGGGGCAGAGGGGGTGTAAACCGTCGGAATCTGGGTAACAAAACTGAATATAATAGCATGGCCTTTTATTTTTTTTTTTAGAGGTTGTTGCTAAAGGGCGCGTGCGCTCGCCAGCCAGACAGAGAGAGACAGAGAGACAGAAAGTGAGAAATCACTCCCAGGGGGAATGGCCATGCCACAATCCCATCTCCTCCATTCTCCTCTCGGGATCTTGGGCACGCACATGCACCCGGCATGAGTTTTAAGCCACCAGGTCCAGGACACGAACCGTGGTCGACTACATGGGAGTCCAGCGACATAGCCATTATACTAACTGCTGGTCCCAGCATGGCCTTTTAAACAACATGCAAGTGCCACATGGACTCAAACTCCTTTTTAAAGGTTTTTGCCATAGGGCATATGTGCTGGCCAGAGAGGAGAGAGACAGTGAACAGGAAAGCAAGAAATCACCTGCTAGGGGTATGGCCATGCCACAATCCCTTCTCCTCCATTCTCCTCCCGGGATCTTGGGCACTTGCACACACACACACGCCCAGAGTGATTTTCAAGCCACCAGGACTAGGACTCGAATCACATCAGCCACATGGAAGTCCAGTGCATTAACCACCACACCACCTGCTAGCCCCCTCAAACGTACATTTTAAATTTGCTATAAGGGATGTGTGCTCACTGGAGAGAGACAGAAAGCGGGGGGGGAGGAGTGAGAAATCACTTCCCCAAGAGGTATGACCACACCACTGCCCCTTCTCCACTCTCTTCTCAGGATTATAGGCGCACATACACCCAACATGTTTTTCTAGCCATAGGGTCCTGGCCTCAAATCATGCAGTAGGCCATCTGGGATCCAGCCATCTTAACCATCACGCCACTGGCTGGCCCCACACCCGGACTTCTTAAAGTGGCACAGCTAGAGAAAGAAACCAAGGCCTGGGTAGTGGTGCTGTGGTAATGCAACTGCGAGGCCGACCCACCCGGGAAGGGGCCAGAACAGGCTAGAGCTGCGGTGATTATGGCCCCAAGCCACTGTTGGGGTATCTCTCTCTCTCTTCTCATGGAATAAAGAAACTTTAAAGGAGGGAAGGAGAGAGAGAAACCAGTGCTTTCTTCGAAGGGAAACCACCTGGAGAACACCCACAACTGCACTGAAAGGAAAGCGCCCTCAGCCCTGCTCCTCGTACTGCTGAGCCCGGTTAACAGCAAGGAGGCTGGGAGGCCTCGTGCCAGTGGGAAGGGGTCTGGCTAGGGCTGTGGCACTGGAGGACAGTCTGCAGGCCTCCAGGGCCCACGGAAGGCGCAGCAGCCACAGCACATTGGGAGCACTCACTCCTCCAGGACTTTCATCTTCTCCCCTTTCTTGAAGGACAGGTCATCGGGGTGGATGCCATCATAGGGGTATAATGCGACCACGATGTCTCCTTGCTCCTCTGGATCTGAAAATGAAGAACGCGAGGGAACACTTGTAAGAATCCATCCAGAAAGTCCTCACCAGACAAGCGGGGAGCTGCGGCACGGTGTCTCCTGCCCAGCCGGGCTCAGGAAGCCCCGTGCCATGAGCCCCGTGGAGTCTGTTATCACACTCGCACAAGCTCAGCTACAACTCCAGCTCACATTAAGAAGCGATACTCCTGAGAGCAGCAGTTAGTGTAATAGCTCTGTTGCTGGCCTCCCACGTAGTCGACAGGGGTTCGAGTCCCGGACCCGGTGGCTTAAACTCACGCCGGGCACGTGTGCGTGCGTGTCTGAGATCCTGAGAGGAGAATGGAGGAAAGAGGATTGCGGCATGGCCATCTACCCTGGGGGATGGGGGGGGGTGATTTCTCTCTTTCTGTCTCTCTGTCTCTCTCTCTCTGTCTGGCGAACCCACGCGCCCTATAGCAAAAACCTCTCCAAAAGAAAAGAAAACAAAAAACAAAAAAAGAAGCAATACTCCTGTGTTTACAGCAGCTTGACACATGGTAGTCAAACTGTGAAAATGATCCGAATGCGTGTACATTCACTGACGCAGCAAATGAAACGCAGTGTATCCACACCATGGACGCTGCTCAGCCTGGGAAGGCAAGGACTTCCCACACACGCTCCCGCAGAGGAACCTCAACATGGCGCACAGAGAAAAAGGCCGGCACAAAAGAACACACACCGGGGACTGCACTTACGGGGGGACGGACGGAGAGAAACTCAGGGACAGAAAGTAGCTTGGGGGCTGCCAGGGGCTTGAGAAAGGGGGAGTGGAGGGCTAGTGTTCAGTGGGGAGAGAGTTTGAGTTTGGGAAGATGACAGCGTTCTGGAGCTGGGTGTGCTGGGGGCTGCAGGGCAACGTGAGTGTCCTTGATGGCACTGAGTTGCACACTTAGTGCTGATTAAAATGCTGAGTCCTATGTTGGGTGTACAGAGGGACTCCAGAAAACTCATGGAAAAATGGCGTTAAAGTATGAGTTTATTTTGGGGTCACGAATGTTTAAAATCCATGTATAGCTTTTCCATAACATATGTTTTCCATGTACTTTTCAAAGACCCCCCTTGTATTTTCCCATAAGAAAAAAAACAAAACAAAACAGGGACCAGCAGTTAGTGTAATGGCTGTCACTGGACTCCCATGTAGTCGACCGTGGTTCACGTCCTGGACCCGGTGGCTTGAAACTCACAGCAGGTGCGTGTGCGTGCGTGCCCAAGATCCCGACAGGAGAACGGAGGAGAAGGGATTGCGGCATGGCCATCCCCCCTGGGGGGTGATTTCTCGCTTTCTGTCTCTCTGTGTCTCTCTGTCTGTCTGGCGAGCGCACGTGCCTTATAGCTAAAACCTCTCAAGAAAAAAAATAAAGAAAAAAAATAAACAAACATCTAGGACAACTAATTTATGGAAACTCTAAGAGGAAAAACAAATTAACTATGCTGTTATAAAAACATACCTTTAGTTTGAAACCTCTGTCCTGGTAAAAGCTGAGATTCCGGAACCTACAAGAGAATATTTGTTAGAAGAAAATAATTCAGGTGTAGCTTTTCTTACTCACATTTATGTTGTGCATTGTTTTTTCTAATAGTAGCAAAGGATGTTTGAATTTGCTAATTTATTAAGCCGGAAAGAAGGATATATAGAGAAAATTCTGGCACTATGGTCACAAGCTACATGACTCCTGAAAGCTCTTGCTTCTCAGAGCAGTCCCTTGCCAGAGCCGGCAGGAAGTGAAAAGGGAGCCGGGCCCGGGCCAGCGGCTGGTGGATGTTCAGCCCATCACGATTCTCCCTCTTATTTGGTAACAGAACCCTAAAGGTATTTGGGGTGGCAGTTCACCCAGTTCAATGACTGTACCTCCAAACTTTCTAGACTCCTATCTAGTGGAGGAGGCAGTGTTTCCTTTTGGTTTTTGTTTGTTTTTTTCCTGGGAAAGGGCACATGGACATGCCAAAGTGATAGAGCGAGGCAGAGAGGGAGAAAGTGCCTCCCAATCGGACGTGGTCTTGCTGCCATTCATTCTCTTCCACTTCTCCGTCCCGTCAGGATTCGGGGCACACATGCAGCACCTGGCATGATTTTCAAGCTACCGCAGGTGGCCATGTGGGATCTGATTCCCTCTACCGCTAGGCTACAGGGTCTGCCCAAGGCAGCTTTCCTATAAACAAATGGTTGTGTGAGCCTTCGGCAGACTCTCCTTTCCCTTCACCTCCTTTCTGCCTAGAAATACGTGATGGCAGGAGCCCAGGCAGCCAGGGAAACCAAACACAGGAACAGCAGAGCAAAAGGTGGAAGGGCCAGGCCCTGGTGACTTTGCAGAATTGCCACCTGAGGCCAGCATTGCCTGTCTGTGTTCAAAAATGTGTCACTGGGACTCTGTCACTAGCAGCTAAAAGCAAGTCCTGACCCAGACTTTCTTGGGCTGACCTTGGGCTCTGTCATGGGGACAAATGGTGTCCCCATCATTTTTGTTGGGAGATGAATTAGTGGGAAAGGCTGATGGTACAACAGTGCATCTAAATTACCTTTCAAATCAAGTTCCTATGTCTCCCAAGGCCATGCTGAGGGCGAGGCTGTGTGAGACCTCTCGACACCTTCGAAGGAAGGCGCTATCAGAGTCCCGGCACCGTGAGTCAGGCCACTTCTCAGCTTCTCCTCCATGGGAGTGATTTCATGAACTAGGGCTAAGACTGTACTGGAGTTTAAATTTCTGATGAAAGTCGGCCCATGCGAATCTCACTGTGATGCTGGAAAATCCATAGGTCCTTACTCTCTTTCAATACTTATTTCAAGATGTTTTCTATGGATATTTTTAATCATGTAGATTTGCATAATTAGGGTGCATTATCCGTTTCATATGATTTAGTGGAAATAATTAGACGATGAGAAACTAATGAAATCATTCTGAAAGCAGCAAGCTAATCTTTCACATATCAAAGAGCTCCTAATTTACAGATTCATACACTTTTTATAAAACCAGAAGACATTTATACAACTCATGTACCACCGCTGTGGGCTTTCCTTGAAGTGGCTTTTCCTGGAGTCTGACTGCATTTGCTTCAGTCTGACCTCGCTTCTCAGACGCTCCTGGTAATCAATCCCCAGGCTGCACCTTGCCACACCGGCCAGGGCTGCACGTGTTACTGACGCCCATGGCAAAGGCACACTAATGGGCTCATGGAACAAGACACACATTAAATACGTGTGGTGTGCGTGAGGGATTGAAAGATGTCAAACGTTTCCTACTTCTGCTTTCTAACTTATTTTTTAATTTCCTTTACCCTGAACAAGAAAAAAAATGGTGTGTAACGTTGTACTGTTCATTTTTTACTTTTCTAAATAAAAGATATCTTCGTTCATCCTTTATAGACAAAAAAAAAAAAAAAAAGAAAAAGACAAAGAAAAAAGAAAACTTGAGGTTTAAAGCATAGAAAAATCAAAGAATGTGTTCCCAGGAAAAAAAAAATCCTTTTGATGAGACCTTGAAATCTGTTTAAAAAAAAAAAATCCCTTATCATATTTATGTAATGTATACTTCTAAATGTCTATATACTGAAGTAATGTTTTAAATTTGTATACTGCTATGTATATATTATTACTAAATTATTAAAGTACTAGTAAGCTCATACATTTTCAGTATTTTCCACATATAAAATTACAATGTGAATATCTACCCAGAAACATTATGTACTAGAACTTAATACCACAATGTCTTCACTCTTCCTCTCTATATCTCTGTTAAGGCCATCTCTGATTTATCAGGCTCAATGGTGACATGTGACTTTGACATGTGACAAATGTGTTTGACCTGCAGGGAAGGCTGAGAGGCATTTAGAAACGTGTCAGACTAGAGAAACGGTAAAACTCCTTACTAAAGGCATTTGAACTAATCTGGAATAAGCTGTTTTCAGCTTAAAGCTGGGGAATTCCATACAAAGCAGACGGTAGGAAAATGTAACGGATGTAAGGCATGTAATACAGTGGACTTAAGGCTGCAGTGATCTAAACCACTGTTCCTCCTTTCCATGAAATGAGATATTCATTCTTTCTTTGCCAAGCTTTTCTAAAATACGTCAACTAGGACATCACTCATATAAAACGTCTAGGGCAGATTTTGCCCAAAGTTGTAAGGCTAAAGTATTGCATTTTAAAATATCTTTTAATTCCTGATAAATCCTGACCACATCAATATCTGTACTATTCTGAATGAGAGAAAAGTTGGGGTAAGACGCATTAGTATCCACTTGAGCTTCTGACTTGAATCTAGCATTTCCTTCTACGTCCAGGCCACTGTGGACTCTCATTATCTACTCTAAATCACACAGGCCTCTCTCTATCTGTGTCTGTGTATCCAGGCAGTGGGGTCTTTGCACCAGTCATATGAAAGAGTTTTCTTCACACACGAGAATGTTACTAAAGGCCACTTTACTGCACAAGTAAATGGACTGGTCATCCCGAAAATGTTTACACACTCTTCAAAAGATTAAGTTATGAACCCTATCAAAAACGATGTCAGGCCTAAGCAATCAGTGTGATCTCTGCATGTACATATCCCAGAGCGGAGGTCACAGTATGCGGCTATGCTTTGATCCTGCCGTGGGAACGCTCCCCTGAGACTATCTACTTACTGGCCTTGGCTGTTTATTGGACGTTGGATCTCTCACATAAATAGTTCGGTCAGTATTACGTACTGGTTGAGTCTTCAAATCTATTCCATCGTCATTCAGATTGTCTTTGCTTTTTGATTTTATACATCCCATATTTCCTGTTGGAATAGAAAAGCAATGACATTGTTTTACTATCCCAGAACTGGCTTCATACCTCCAAATTCTCTCCCTTAAAGACAACTGCGAAGGGTCCAATGCGCTCCACTTGCCCTCCCCACCCCTGGAAGTTCATGTGTTGGGATGCAGTTGTGAAGATATTCAGAGGAGGCCTCGCAAGGCTGTGGTGTTGGAGGGTGGGGACTGGAGGTAGTGGGTAGGCATCAGGCTGGGGCCCTCACAATCGACTGCTGGTTTCCAAGGACGGGGTAAGACAGAGAGACGAACACAGACATGCTCACGTTTGTCCTGTCATGTCACCCACCAGCAGAAGGCTCTCACCCAGGGAGGATCCTGGACCTTGGACCTCCAAACCATGAGCTAGATAAATTCTATTCTTTCGTTTGTTTGTTTTGGTTGTTTTTGGAGAGGTTTTTGCTACAGGGCATGTGTGCTCACCAGAAAGACAGAGAGAGACAGAAAGCGAGAAGTCACTCCCTGGGGGGATGGCCACGCCACAATCCCTTCTCCTCCATTCTCCTCTCGGGATCTTGGGCACACATGCACACACGCGCCCTGCAGGAGTTTAAGCCACCGGGTGCGGGGTTCAAAACATGGTCGACTACATGGGAGTCCAGCGACATAGCCATTATGCCAACTGCTGGTCCCATAAACTCTAGTCTTTTAAAATAACCCAAATTTAGTTATTTCCTGTTATTAACAATAATAGGAACTAGAGCAACACCTAAAAAGAATGTGTTTGTATTCTACCTCATACATAGATTAAACCCAAATGAAAACACTCTTCACAGACAAGTTCACTTGTTCATTCGTTCGATCATTTATCCATTTATTCAACAAATATCTCCTGTGCATCAACTTCACATCAGCCAGATGCAATTCCTGTTCCAAATCGACTCACATTCTTGTGACAAAGATGAATTCAAGTGACAGCACAATGTGGCGAACAGAGGTGGCACGGGACCTAAGTGAGGACATTCGCTCAGGCAGGAGGAAAAGGAGGGAAGCCTGTGTCAGCCAGGTGCAAAGTCAGGGAAGGGATTCCAGGAAGAAGGAACACCACAGGCAACCCCAGTGACCTCCAGATAGCACAGTCCCTTCGGAGAACTAGTTATACAACACTGAGTCCTTTAGCCGGGAGGGGCAGGAAGGCCAGGAGAAGGTCAGGCCACAGAGGGAGCACGTGTCAGGGCAGCACCTAGGAGCTGGGCTTTCACCCGGGAGACAAGACACTCCCATCTGCCGTGTGCAAGGGGACAAGGAGGCTTGAGGCTGCCAGGGCAGGTGCGCTCGAGAGTCAGAGAGTGCAGAACCTGCTCCAACGAACGTGGCTTGGGCAGAGACCGGAAACACAGGAGGGAGAAAAGACACTGGTGCAAACATCCAGGGGGGGTCTCAGAAAGGCATGTGAGCCGGGGAACCAGGGGTGTGACAGAGCTCAAGGCACAGCGATGGCCTGCATGAACCCCGACTGCAGATAGGAACGTGGAGGCCGTCCTCTGTGGGGAGTGAGCTGGTGCCTGTCAAGTCACAAAGCCACGACCACGCACTGAAAACTACACTCAGGGCTGGGCAGTGGGGCAGTGACCACACGGCGCTCTGCCATTCCGGTCCACAGAGAAGGGTCTGAGTGTGCACCTGAAGGCCTCCCTGAATACACTGGCATGTGTGTACCGGGACCCACGGCTGGCTGGGAAGACGAGGGCATCAGAACCTGTGGGGTGCTTTCCCTCCCTCCCTCTTATTATGGAAGAAATAAATGAACTTTAAACACTCCACTAAATTCATTCTTTCATTCAGCTAACATTAGGAGGAACAGAGCACTACCCAAAGCACTCTGGGAACTAAAACGATGATTCTGAGCCACTGAATTTTGAATCATTTGAACCATGACTCGCCCTACCCTCTAGCTGCAGGGTCAAATCTAGTCCTTAAAAACAGAAATCTGTCATGAACACCACTAGAAGGTCCTATAGGGACATGGTTCCCACAGAACAGAATCTCTGGACGCATTCCAGGAAATTCTTTTAGGGCCCAGTGGGGGCAGGGTGCTTCCCCCTGAAGCACTGCCAGATTTAGGGACTGCTGCCCAGGACTTCAGAGAAGGGAGCCATGATCTGGGTTTGGGGAAGGGGTGGGTGTGAGCTGGGCACTACCTCTGCCCATTCACTGGCTTAGCTGCCCGACGCCGTGTCCTCCTCAGGCTGCCAGCCGGTCTGGGGACTTGTTTGTCTTCTCATTAGCTGGGTACAAGCTTTAAAGCAGAGCCACACCTCTTTCTGAAACTAGTGAGCTGTAGTTCCCAAAATAAAGGGGAAGCAAGTATTTATTTGATTCAAAACAGCATTTTTTTTTTACATGCTCAAGTTTCTCTAAAGGAAGATTTGTAAAGCTGATCTGCAAATAAGCGAGATGGGTTCTACAACTGATCTGTAAAGCGGCATGTGGATTCTTTTTCCCTGCCAGCCCCCTTCACCTCTCCCAAAAATCTGTCCAACTGCTTAAGCTCTAAAAATGGTGCTTTCCAACGGAGGGGCTGGGGCGTGCACGTGGCCCCCAGCGCGCAGAGCCTGTCGCAGGGCCCCGGCAGGGCTGCCGCCGCTCCTGGCTTCGTCGCCCCGGCTCGCTGCAGCTCCCCTGCGAGCCACCCACACAGACCTTCACTACGTCCCGCTCACGCGACCCACGCTCCTTCTGGTCTCTGCCACATGCGTCCTGACACCTTGGCTTACCCGTGGTCGGCTGCCCCAGCTAGACAGAAGCAGGAGGAGGAGGCCTGCCCTGTCCCCTCGCGGCAGCCCTCCCAGCATCACCTGCAGGTGCTCGAATGGATGGAGCCGCTGTGGCGGCCCAGTGCAGGGCGTCCTACCTGCTCATGGGGACCCCTGAAGGAGGACAGAAAGGAGGTGAAACCCACCCCCATCTGCTGCTTTTTTTCCTCTTTCTCCGAAGACCAAGAGCCAGAGTCCCAGAGACCTCTAGAACTGGCTTTCAGGTTACAGGAAATTCGGGGAAAAGAGGAACTCGGGGACCAGACAAATCCATGCTGTCCAGATTCTAGACTAGCCTGGGTACTTCGGAGGAGCGAGGCGCAGAATATCCGGCATGGAAAGAGGCTTCCATTGAGTCTTGGGGGTGGGGGGTCACAGCTGGGACAAGTGGGGAAATCTGAATGGCTCTGCGCTCTGTCCTAGGGGATCCCTGCTGGTTTGTGAGTGTGACAGGGCATTGTGGTTACAAGAGAGGACCCGCTTAGTTGGGAGCTGCAGGCAGAGGTGTGAGGGGTGAGGACTTGGGGTGTCTGCACCTTCCGCACTTCAGCCAAGATGTGAAGGGGGAAAGGAGGAGGGGACACATGTGTCGACATATTTAAAAACGAGTGACTATTTAAAGGTAGGAACACACAATACTAGAGTTTGGATGTGGCCCCATCGGAACCTGTGCTGGGAGGTGACTACTGTGACGGTGGCGAGAGGAGACTTCATATGGGAGGTGGGGATGTCCGGCAGTGACCGGGCATCGGGGTGGCCCGTGACTGAGAGGGGAGACACGATCTGGGGTGTGGGGAAGGGGGTGGGTGAGACTTGGGCACTGTCTCGCCCATTTCATTGGCTTTGCTGGGTTATAAGGACAGGAGTAGGACAGGGACACGTGGACACAGACATGCTCACTCCTGCCTTCTGCCATGTTACCCACAGCAAGAAAGCCCTCACCAGACATAGCTCCTGGACCCTGAACTCCAAACCACAAGTTCAATAAACTTCTGTTCTTATAAATTACCAAGACTTAGGTATTTTCAGATTTTTTTTTTCAATTTATTCCACGAGCAAGACAGAGAGAGTGAGCAAGAGAGAGCAGCTTCCCCAACAGGGTCCCCACGCCACGGTCTACACCCACCCTACAGCCAGACTCTGATAGTGAGCACCCTCAGGGAGGTCTCCAAACTTGAACCAAGAACCCTCACATCTGGGTCAGCCTCACAGAGCATTGCATTTTACAGATGGGCTACTGTTCAGGCCCTATTTTCTGTTATTAGCAACAGAGTAGACTAGAACAGACATATTCTTTCATCTTTTCTGTGAATTTCAAAATTTTAAAATAAAAAGTTGGAATGGAGAAAATAAGATAGAAACAACTTTATACGACCACGCTTTTCAAGACATTAGAAACCCCAGTGGTGTGTGTGTGTGTGTGTGTGTGTGTGTGTGTGTGTGAAGGCAGGAGATGTGATTAGAAAAGCACAGCTGCTGGGAGTTATTTACACATAGAGCTCTTCGGAGACAGCTCTGCAGGAAGCATGGAGCAGAGAGCAAGGTGGCACGGGACATCCATGCCCCGGACTCTGGAGGGTCAAAGGAAGACGCGACAGTGCTGTCTGAGGGCAGCGGCCATGAGACAGTGGGAGGAGCCAGATGAGAAGCCGGTGGACAGGTGGAGGTAGAGCCACCCGAGACCACATCGGTAGACTGCTGCTTTATGCATATTTTGTTTCTCCCCTCAGATCATTGTGGATCACCAAATGTACGTATTATATTAGGTCGTTGGGAAAGTTCTGATGTATTTTTCTGTTTTTCTATACAGAAATGTGTCTTGACTTTCCCAACAACCCAATAGATTTTTTAAAAAGTCAAAACACCACCCCACACAAAGAGTATGGCCTCATCGCTCAGGAGGAGTCTCAGTTCATCACCCCCCCTCCCCAGCACAAAGCTCTCCTTTGGGGCCCTGCAATCCAGACACACTCCAGAAACCTCAGAGAGCTCATTCTTGGACAGGGGTATGAACAACCCAAACTCAGACCAGGTCTCATGATTCCTGATGCTGTGCAAAGGTACAGAAGAGGAGAAAATACAAACTCCTCCTGACAAAGACTGAGAAAGGGGTTACATATTTCCAAGTGATACAAGCTACACTTCGCAATGACTCGCACCTTAGCTTTTTAAAAAATTAAACGTGTATAACGTGCTGAGGATCTC